CTATTAAAATGAGGCTGAATCATTGACCTTGGCACTGGGTGATCATTATCACATACTTAAAGTACAATAATAGATTTCTGTAATTTCCCCAGGGTTAGCTTTTTAACAACACATTAATTAAAATGGAAAGTATGTTAAAATGAAAGAGCTAGTAGATGCTGAACTCAATGGATTTATTAGTATCCAACTAACACATATTATCTATTTTTCACTGGTTAGAAGTAAAGCAGGCAAAAATAAACATGCGTTACATTTAAAAAGCAAATGAAGCCCACTTGCTAATTTAGTGACCTTGCAAATGTCAGAAAAAAACAATGGTAAATCTGTTTACCATTAGTCTACATATTCCAAATATCTACACATTATGTCATAATGCAGTGGTATTCTTAAAGAAAGTTACTAAAGGACATTGAGCACAAGTTCAAGGCATATAAGAAAAACAGAACAAAATTCTTGGAAAAAAAATTAAGCTAAATTGGATCAGTGTTGCAAAGTGTGTACTGGAAATAAAAACTGTTATTGTAGGCAGTTCTGAATGAGTTGCCAGTCCACTGACCCAGTTGGACAAACGGGTTAATCTAAGGTTCCTCCTTCCAAGAATCTGATTCCAAGAACAAAGTTTTTGCATATAACTGATCATTTCTGCTGCTTTGATAAAATTGAGAACCACATCACCTTAGAGACCAATAAAACCTGAATTAGTATTCTAAGAAAAAATATAATTTTCAGGCTTTCTGCATCCTGGTAATCTTTTACTGCAGTGAAAGTGCTGTCTGAATGCCAAGATCCACACCAATGACTAAAAGGACAGATTCACAGATTGGGTTGCCATTAAAATCAGTATTTTTAAAGATAATCATGAATTTATCATACAGTGAATTTCTACATTAACTATGTATATTGACAGACATTGAGACAAAACCTTTCTTTTGAACATAACAAAGAAACCATAAAACAACTTCACTTTGAAGCTTCTGATCATCACTGGCGTAGTTTGACTTAAAAGCTTCTGCAAGAACATTTTGAAGAGAGAGAGACCTGTAATTTTTACAGATAAAAGTTGAAATCTGGTGTGTTTGTGTGAGTTGTCTTGGAGCATAATTTCCTTCTGTCAGCCAGGACAGATAACAACTATCCCCAAGCCGAGTATTCCCTCAATTCAGTGTTGCGCTTTTTATTGTGCTGTCCAGCACTCCTTTTTTATGAAACTGCAGCATTGCAGAGAACAGCAGTAAACCAGGCAAAGATGCAAAGAAACTGCTGAATAATGACGTATAGTGATGTTCATTAGACTGCACAGAAAAAAACACCAGATCCTACAAATTATCTGCTATTTTTAAAGTCTTTGACCTCTTTTATTTCAGTACAGTTTGCCTTTCAGTGATGACTTTATGCCTTACATCCCATTTCTGGGTGTTTGCACCTCGACAGGTTCATGGCCAGAAGGCAGTATGGGAGGACCCGGTGGACTGGGTGAGGGGCACCTTGCCATGGCCATCCGCCCAGCAGGACCAGGCTAAGCTATTCCATCTACCTCCTCCCAGTATTAGCTCTAGTAGCCCATGTCAGTCCAGTGAGGAGAGGCCTCACAAAGAAACTCCACCCAGCTCTATGGAATCTGATCCTCTGGTAGGAAAGAATGTGACATTATGAACTTTGAGTCACTTTTTTGATATGCATTCTTGTTTCTGAATTATTCCCTATTTTTGCAGATGGCAATGCTTCTGAAACTTCAAGAGGCTGCTAACTACATTGAATCTCCAGATAAAGAAGATCTGCCTAAGCTTTGAACAGACAACTCAGACTTAACGACCCACCAGTAAAGATTTTACTTAATTTTATGTGTTTCACTGTGTCGGAGCAGTGTATGGTCTGGAAGAAATGGACTATGGGAAATGATTTTGGAGAGAGTTTAACTATCATTACCGTAGAGTGGATGAAACTTTTCAATTTAGACTCAGATTATTAAAACACTTGCATATATGAACACTGAAGATCTAATAAATAGAAAGGTATATTCTATAACAAGACTATGTATAACAATTTACCACCACATTTGCCCTCAGTACTATTAGATTGGTGCTTACTGTTTACGCTGAAATCCATTGGTATTTGCATCAAATCAGGGGATTCCTACAAAAACATGCACCGTCCATCCTGTTTTCTCTTTAAGTGTGTCCTGGGATAGTGAGTTCTCATCAAATGACTCTTACCTTAATAGCATTAACCTTGTTTTGGAAAAGAGTATGACAGCATGACAGACACTACCGTTAAACGCAAAAATCTTTGGTACATATCTACTGTATACAGAAAGCCTTAGAAGGCCAATTCTTAATACATATGCAATATTGAACTTTACAACTCCAGCAGGTGAAAAATGCCTTAACAGCAGAGATGTTCATGTCACCTCAACCTAAGCAGAGTTTACTGGTGCTTTCAGCAAGATTATTGCAACTATTCAGTCAGGAATTCTTTATTTCCCCAGGTTCCTATATATTGTTATTTCAGTTCATCATTATAATTTTATAATGACAATGATTAAACTTTAAATTCTTTTGATTTCATAGGAAATGTTGCTGTCATACTCTTTTATATAAAACTGAGCTTAAATATAGATGTGATTTAATTGCTCTGTGGCTGTACACACCACTTTTATGAAGCACTTAACAGAGTTTTATTTCATAGAAGACAAGCAGTGCCTCTAAGGCTGCCATAAATATCAGGTATGAGATACTTACTACACAGGGATAACATAAGATAAAAAACACTGTTTGATCAAAACAAATGAGTGGATGCTTACTGAATCCAATTCAGATTGTAGTTTATCTTCAAAAGAGCACATTTGTTCCAAATGTTCCCCATAATATTGTGTATATAATGTGTACATACAATCAGGTTGTGTTGCAGTTTATTTATCTGCATTAGGTGGTGCAAAAAATCTAATATACTGAACCAAATATTTTACTTTAACTTTGCATATTGACTGTCAACTTAGTTTAAGTTCAGCTATGAATGTTTATGAAACACTTAAGTGTACAATAGTATCATGTAGTAGGTGCTCTTCAAAGAAGCCTTATCAAAGTACTTCAAAACACGTTTAACAATGGCTGAGCAGAGCGACTCTAAAGCTGCACATGGTGAATTCATCCACCACAAACTGAACAGTCTCTCACCAGTCATGCATATTAGTATTGGTTAGTTTTGTATGATGCTTTAAAAAAAACGGCCCCAAAATGTTTTCGGATTGTGTTGCAGAGTAGGTTAGCAAAATATTTGGTGTCATTTCTGTCAAATCGGAAACATGACCTTACATGTTGAATAGTGTTGAAGACGTTCTGAAGTAACGTGAGACAATGTGTCGTGTGAACCCTCTTCAGTGTCGTACAGTATTCTTCTGAGAATAATCTGGGTACACGACACAGCAAAATAGTGTTATGTAGACACAGATGAAAACTTTATTAGGTGCTCAATGTAGAATTGTGTAAAGAGGTCCTTTAGAAGTACATGAAATGTAGGATATATGGTTGTGCAATATCCATCATCTCAAACTGACCATTATTTTATCTGATTGAATGTTGGACCACTTTAATGACAGCAGGATAAGGAAGTGTAACCATTTAGATTGTGTTTCTGCTGCTTTGGCTGGTACAAATTATTTGATTGAAGAGAAAACAAAGCCAGTTAGCTTCATTGCTGTAAATAGTCCAGGTATCAAATGGCCAGTGGCCACACTCCAACCCATTTCTGCAGGTTGACTAAAGCCATCAGGTCCAGCTTTTCATCTCATTTTCTGGTTGTTGTGCCTGTTGCTCTGTATAAACTGTGATTTGTGTTTGCTTACTGGTGTATCAGGACTATGCAGCAACTTCTACTGGTGTCAGCAATTGGCAGAGGTCTTAACTTCACATGCAGTTGCTTTGTGCTCTCATCTAGTCTTTCCTAAGTTCCTGATTTGGAATCAAAATGCATCACAAGAAAACAAGTGATAAAAGTTTGTTTCAGCCAGTCAGACATAGCCTTAAAGTTGTTGGAATTTAAAGACAGGGTTCAAAAGATAGGTAAGAATTGTAAGCTGTTTGATACATTTTATGTTTATGAATGACAAAAAGAAGAAATGTAACTTAAGCTATAAATTGTCAAAGACAATTTAAGATTAAACCGAGCCTAAATCAGCTCTACATCTGATTTCTTAGGCCAATACAGGTTGCTGAATAGTCATATTTTTGCAAAGCTTGTTGTGGACTAAACTAAGATTTTAAAAAAAAAGTTATGCTGTTTGTAATGTCACGGATGTGCATATGTTAAGGGTTCATAGGTGTTGTAAATGCATGTAAACTTGCCGTGTGATGAGACAAAAAAGTTCACCTTACCATATACTTTAGAAAAAAAAAATCATATTAGACATTTTCTTTTTTAAAATACTCAAATATTTGATATTTCTTTTTTTTTAATAATCCTTTGTAAAACTTGATTTATCTACTTTGTACAGGACATCGATGTAAAGACTGTAAATACAGTTGGTCAACATTCTGGATGCAGCAACAATCGTTGAGGTGGAAAACGAAAGCATCCGATAGAAAAATATATTTCATCCTTGCTGGGTCCAATAGATGGATAAATGGTGCTCCTGAAGGCTTTCATCCACTCATCACTGTTTGTTGGCATTTAATAAAATACATGTCATACTTATTTCTTGTCCTAATGTGTGCATTTTGATTCCAAAAACATTATAGGTAAAGAACTTTGATAAATCAGATTTTATTTGCTAAATTGTATTTATATAGGTTGTCTCTGAAATCTAAAATTTCATGTAGAAGAGAAATGTGTTTATCAGACAGACTAATTGCAAAAGATGATTTCAAGAAAGATTTAAAGATGCTGATTCTCTTTTGGCATGATGTTCAGAGTCATCCGTCATGTTTAGTATCTATTACATGCAGCTCATTAAAGGGGCGGTGACTAATCGTGCAGACTGTATATATAAGCCTTGTATCCCCCAGAGGAATGATGGCATTGGATACAGTCTAAAGGACTTAACTGAGTTGGGAATTCGCTGCGACCTCCAACATGCCGTCCAAGCCTGCCCCGATCAAGAAGGCGGCCAAGAAAGAACCAGAGAAAAAAGAGGAGGAAAAAGCCCCTGAGCCGGCTCCCGAACCCGCTCCCGTGGAGGAAGCCCCCGCGGAGGCCCCAGCTGAGGGAGAGGCGCCTGCTGAGGGCGCTGCCCCTGCCGAGGGTAATGTCGGCAACGGCGTGGCACCACGCTGACTTATTCGGGGCAAACAATAGTTTAAATTTGTTTTTTCTCCGTGGAGGATCCTTGGATATATTTATAAGAAGTTACATTAATCGTAATATGTTTGTGCCCGTCTTGGTAAGATCTCCGTTACCTTTACGCACATTTGAGGGAGCCTATATTTTCTATAGAGAATTCCCAGACGTTTAAATTCCACCATAGAGCATTGTGATAATTGCTTCTAAAGTGCCTTCTTTCATTGGTTTCCACGCATTTATGGAAATTAGCTGTTAATGGCACATCGTTTAATAAGCATTCAGGTGAAGGACACATTCAAACTTAGTCTGTTGCTCCTTTTTGTAAAAAAATAAGACATCCTTTAGATATATTTACTATAATGAATCACTCTAAAGTCTACTCCCGTTTTTCTGCTTTCACTAATAGAGCTGAGTTGCCGCTTCTGCTGCAACATTTTTTTCTTTGATTGCTAAGCTTTACTGCATTATAAGCCGTTTGAAATCTATATTTACGTGTTACAGCCTATCACTTGTTTCTGGTTCTTATGGCCAATTCGCCATGTGGATGGCCAAGCCAATTGGCAATATCCGCCAGCACTTTATTGTTTCTATAGAGCTCCAAAAGTACCAAAACGTGGCAGAAATGATGGTTTGTCAAATAAGTTTGATTGGTCAACCATAACCCTAACCAATCATCTTGACTAGAATAGTGTTAAATTCATTCACTAACCTTCAGAGTTAGGGTTTAGAGGTAAGATAAATTCATGATGTACTGCAACACCTCCCCACCCCCATAAAATGATAGAATACACAGTCAAATATCACTATATGCTGTTCTGCATATGCTTATTTGTTAAATTGTGCATCTAAAACAAAATATATGAATTTGTTTCAATTTAAATCTTGACAAATGTTGATAATTAGTATATAAATATATATTTTAATAGTGGTACTTTTGGCTCCACATATAAGTCAGCTGCTGCACCTGTTACTGAGGAATCATCAGCTGCTTTTGCAGCAACTGTGGTCCCTGCTAAAAGTATAACAGCAACAAGTGGAACATCTAATCTTAAACCAACCTCCTATTACATGAAAGCTAGCTTCTCTAAATTGTAGTGTCTTTTACTAACAACATGAGTTGTTCCTGCTGCAGAGGAAAAGGAAACACCCGCCAATGCTGCTGATGTCCCTGCTAATAGTAAAATGCAAAAACTGAAATAGGAAAATTATAAGCCGTCATCCTATTCTTGCTAAAGCTCAGCTCACTATTGGCTTCTTTAATTTCTCAAGCTGACAGTGCTTGAAGCGCTAATTAATAAAATCTAACATTTAATAATAGTTGCTTCTGCTTCAGCCACAGAGGGCGCTGCTCCAGCTGCAGAGTCAGATGCTCCTGCTGATGGTAAACCACCCTGGAAAAGTGTTTATATACTCTCATATTTTTATTAAAAATATGAGCACAAATGTACACAAAACTTGCTGTAAATTAAAACTGCTCATTATTTTTGCAAACAATAAAACATTTCTCTTTTCACCGTCAGGGGAAGCTCCTGCTGAGGCACCTGCACCAGAGCCTAAGCCACCCACTCCACCTCCTCCTCCCAAAGGTGAGACTCTGCTCCAAAAGAAAAAGATCAATAAGAATAAAATCATCTTTAGCTAATCACCCAATGTTTCAATGATTATTCCTAGAGCCCACAAGTGCCCCTGTGGATCTGTTTGTTGAAGATAAAAATGACAATTCAGTGACCATCATTTGGAGCCAGCCTGAGACCATTGGGGACTCTGGTCTGGACGGATATGTCATTGAAGTTTGCAAGGATGGAAGTAAGTCCCTCTCTGCCTTGAACCGTGTGCAATAAAAGGCTGACCTCTGTGAAAATACATCTTTCACATGTTGTGAAAGATGTACTGTAGACAGCTGATTTTAGTTTTGGCATGTGCAAGTATATTAAGTTCTCAGTTTTCAACACAATCTCTAATAGTATTTTAGATCCATTGAGAAAAATGAGAAATTGGTGTTTTAATTTGGGTCAGCCAGATCAGTTGCAGCTGTCCCTGAAGTGTCAGCCTCTCTGTTATATTATGAGCTACCTCACTTCTCCCTAGAAGGGAAGAGGCATTTCAGGGTTGGTGTGGTCCTGTTGGAGGTCCTGCTTTTAGACTTACAGTAGTAGGCTAATCTCAGCTGTGGCTGAGTGAAGCTTTCATTTAGCAAACACACACAAAGTGATTACTAGTTAAATACTCAATTTGTTTATACTTTGTACTATTATTTCAATTACAAAAGTTCAGGCATTATTTACCTAAACTGTCCCATACAGCTAAGGGGCAAAAACATTCACTGCTGGGCAGAAAGTTAAGAGAAAAGAATGTCAAATTAAAACAAACAAACAAACAAAAAAAAACAATATGGTAGACCAAATAGTCTAGACTAAGATTACAATATATGAATGATATAATCAAACAAATAAAGGAGTTGCTCTTTTTATTTATTTATTTTTCAATTAAACACATTGTAAAAGTCAGTAGCTGAAGAAAACAGCAACTATGATTACTAAGAAGCTAACAAAATGTTTGTATGAAAGCATTCATTGTGAGCATTGTTATCTTAATAATGCCAACAAATGAAAAAAAAATCTAAACAAAACTGTATTACTTTAAATCAGTCTGCTTGTCTGGAAAACATTTTGATGGCTAGAAGAAAAATACCCATTAAGAGCAAATGTATTTTTGGGGGTGCAGAAAGAGAACCATGTCTTAATGCAATTTCTATGAAACAGTTCCTGAATTCATAAAACTTTCAATAAACTTCATTATATATCAATTCTCCATCCAGCTGAGGACTGGAAAGCAGTCAATGAGGATCTGCAGAAGTCCAGTCGCTACGTCATCAAGAACCAGACCACCGGTGACCGCCTGAAGATCCGTGTGGTGGCTGTGAATGAAGGAGGCCGCAGCCCCCCGGTCACCCTCCCAGAGCCTGTACTGGTGAAGGAAGTTGCAGGTAAGAAAAGCTTTGTCTTTGTTTTCGGGGGGCAAAGGACTAAAAACAAAAAACTTTGACAAAAACCTTTGTAAACATTTTATTTACATGTTATCCTTATTTAACAAAGTGTAAGCTTTGTTAAGCTTACACTTAAGCTTACATGTTTTACGATACATTAGTAAAACATGTCAGCGCAGGAGTAAGGACAACATGGCAAACCAGTGGACAAACACATAATACAAAGATGTAAAGAAACCATTATTACCGAAGAGAAAACACAAAATATATATTATGTTAAGGCTTTTTCACAGGTGCAACCATTTTGGAACACACTAAATTTGGGTTTTTTGTAAATATTTCACATTTATTAATTTAGTGGGATGCGTTGCAAAGTCCAGTATCTCTGTTGCCTTGTAATGGGTTGGCTCCACCTAAACAATATGACCGCTGGAAGTGGGGACCAGCTGATGGATGGATGGATGGATGGATGGATGGATGGATGGATGGATGGATGGATGGATGGATGGATGGATGGATGGATGGATGGAAGGAAGGAAGGAAGGAAGGATGGATGGATGGATGGATGGATGGATGGATGGATGGATGGATGGATGGATGGATGGATGGATGGATGGATGGAATGGAAGGAAGGAATGGAAGGATGGATGGATGGATGATGGATGGATGGATGGATGGATGGATGGATGGATGGATGATGGATGGATGGATGGAATGGAAGGAAGGATGGATGGATGGATGGATGGATGGATGGATGGATGGATGGATGGATGGATGGATGGATGGATGGATGGATGGATGGATGGATGGATGGATGGATGGATGGAGTTGTTAAGTGCAGAAAAAGCTTAGCAATGTTTTATTCTTGACTTCCCTCTCCTGTTGCAGCATTAATACGATAAAACCGTTAACTCCCATCCACGATTAGTTGAAACATTGTTCTAACCTGCTGGATTGTGAGATTAAACTGATAGTTTTCAGGATCCTTCACACTTAACAGTGTTAATCTGTGACAGTTTCTGGTAAGATGACGATTGGACTCTGAGGATTTGAAAAAATTAGTTGTGTACCTTTCATTATCTCTCTGATTGTTTTATGCTTGAAGAAGTATAGGCAAAGTGGGTGGAATGGCAACATGATCCCAACTCAGCTGGCAGCAGATAGTGTTCACCATACCAGATGGTCCACAATTAGCAACAATTTTGTTAATGGTTTCTGGCGGAATTGCTGCACATCTTTGGAAAATAGCTGCGATATACCTGCTGGTAGCAAATAGTTTTTACTGAGTGTCTGCAGTGCATAAGGATCTTTGCCAGGATTCATGCTGAGGAAAGGCTCAGGCTAATTTCTGCAAGATTGATGGTGTCAAGTGATTGGACCTAAAGCAGGTGGGGGCTGTGAAGAGAAGTGGGGGTGGTGAATTCCAGCAGGGCTTGTCTCCAAGAAACAGGGTGGTGACTTCTCAGATGGCACCCAAATCTCATAGCGGCTCTTGCAATTCACTGTTTATTTTGCAACATGCTATAGACTTTACAGGGGAAGGCCCATTAAGCCTGATCCTTATCTCTGCTATGTCAAAAGGCACTAACTGTTACGTTTATTTTAACTTTACAGCTCGAATTCTGAAATATTTAGTTTTTTTATTTTCTTTACCAAATTTTACTCCATATAATTGATCGTATGTCTATAAATTGGCTGCTGTTGAACTGTAGCTAGTCGTTTCTTATCATCTGGAAACTTCATGTCAAGGGTAGAGCTGACATAGTGAGTGCTATAGTATCCTTTCTTTATTTAGAGTCCTGACAAATGTAGTTATGCAGCACTCAGCAGGTGGTGAACTCCAGCAAGATACTTCCAAGTCCCCAACAGTACGACTTCTGTATCACATCAGAAGTCATAATAACTAACTACCCATGATAGTAGAATAAACTTCTTTGTTTGAATTTGATATATTTATTTTTGTAAGGAATGAATGAATAAATCAACCGTACAATGCAAAATGTGTCAGCTTACTTCTACTAGAACTTAATTTAGTCATAACATTCTGTTTCCAGTGTTTACGTTTTATGCTTTCAAAAAATATTTCAATATGTATAAATGAACTGAATTGATTAAAACAAACATGAAGTGAAAAGCTCTCATTCATTCAGGCATAAGTCAAGATCACATTACTATGATTTTTGAAGCTGTACCATTAACCTTTCTTGATCATTGAAAAACAATTTGACTTTGCAAACTACTATCTCAGTAAATTATTACAAATGTTTGTGAAATGGTTATGATGCAAGACCTGAGTGTTTAAAAAAGTCATTTCTCTACATTTGTCGTTTCTATTTCCTTAGATCGTCCCAAGGTCCGTTTGCCTCGTTTCCTTAGGCAGAGATACGTCGCTCATGTTGGGGATAAGATCAACCTGACCATCCCCTTCACAGTAAGTACACAATATCTAACACAACACAATATAATCATAATAAAACAAATCAAGGCTCAATCTATTCTTTTTCTCAGGGTAAACCCAAACCTGAGGTGACCTGGACAAAGAACGGTGCGGCACTGGACCCAAAGAGAGTGAACATCCGCAGCACCGAAAGAGACAGCATCCTGTTCATCCGTGCAGCCGAGAGAGATGACTCCGGAGTGTATGAGATGTGTGTGAAAGTGGAGGGCTTTGAAGACAAGGCCTCACTGACCCTTCAGATTGTTGGTCAGTAAAATGAGCACACACAGAGGTGAAAATTAAAATGGTTCAATCTGTTATAGATTTTTGTTGATTGTGGCCCACAGAGCTGCCAGGACCTCCTGCCAGTGTGAAGATCGTTGACACCTGGGGCTTCAATGTTGCTCTGGAATGGACTGCACCCAAAGACAATGGAAACACTGAGATCACTGGATATACAATCCAGAAGGCTGACAAAAAGACTGGAGTAAGTTCTCAACATTAATGAATTGTAACAATAGTCTACAAAAAGTTTTATATCACTTACAGATAAAAATCCAAAAACATTTGCATTCAGGTTCCTTTGAGAACCACAACTTTTGTTTTAAGTACAGGTGCACATATTTTGGGATATTTCCGTAGCTTTTTTTCACTGGCATATTCCATTTCAGGATTGCAAAGTTGTTACCTCCTTACATCTTTCCATCAGTTCTGACTAGATTTCCTGTCTCTGCAACAAAAAGCATCTCCACTGAACAACTGTCCTATCACCATGTTTCATTGTGTGGTCGTTGTATTCAGGGTGGTGTCAGTTAATTACTACACCACTTTGTAGTAAACAACTTTCTTTTGTCTGCGTTGTTCCCTACGTGACTTGTGGCAAACTGCATACTTCTTATTGAGCTGTTTCAGTAAGTAGTTCCATAAGTAGTATCTTCCTCATTCTTCCACCTTAGCAGCTGATCTCTGCAACTCCTCCATGGTCTTTTAGCTACTTCTCAGATTAATGTTCTTCTTTCTCATTGTGTTAGTTCAGAATTTTACTTGCAGTTGTGGAAACTCTTTTTTTTATTTTTCAGTTTCTCCATGAGCTTTTCAAAGCTTTCAACATCATTTAATAACCTAACCCTGATTCAAACGTTTCTATAACTTTATTGTGCCATGACAAACCCTCAAAACCTTGTGAGAACACCTACATTTCTACTAATATGCCTTAAACATGTAAAAAGTATTGGCAGTATTGGAAGGTTGGTATTTGTTTGGAGGTTGGCAATGCACTGTTTGCTGTCATCTTTTTTGTTTGTTTTGTTTTCCAGGATTGGTTCACTGTGTTGGAGCATTACCACAGACTGAATGCCACCATCTCTGACCTCATCATGGGCAACACTTACAAGTTCAGAGTATTTTCTGAGAACAAGTGTGGAATGAGCGAGTCAGCTGCTGTTTCAAAGGAAGAGGCCAAGATCCTGAAGACAGGTAACAGTTTGTCTGTTGATATCAGCTACTTCCATTAATAAATAAAGGGAATCAATTGGTAAGAACATGTTGACTGTTCAGTATAAAAGTCTTTCCTACATCAAATGGGATTCTTGTTCAAGTTATTTTTTATTACCAAAATATTGACAAAATATTTTTTTTCTGAACAATCACAGTAAAATGATGAAATAAGTACTTTTAAATCTTTGTTCAATAAGTTTTCAAGCACTGATATCTTTACTAAATTCTTTCTTTCAAACTGTAACAAGTTTTCCAATGAAACTACGGACTAACAGTTCACCAGCTATTACTCTACCCCAAACTAATAGTAAATTTGTTTCACTATTTGTGAAGAGACACAACTGTTTGGAAATTAATTCGTTTTTCGTGTCAGTTTTGGATACAAAACATTTATCTTTTCACTAGCTTTTTAAAGACTTGAATGTTAATATATTAATCCCAAATTATTGCTTATTTGGTTCTTATTAAGTATATTGTGTTAATGACCTAATTTCACAAATTTATGGACTTTTATGTAAATCATTTCAAATGTATAAAGGTGCAGTCCTTCAAAATGGGGAACAAATTTTGTCTTGATGAGAATTTATTGTTAGGAGACAATAGAGAAATGCTATTAAATAAATCATTCTGTTAGAGTTATTCAAGCAGAATTTATTTTTCTTGTATTACTCCTTAACTCAGATTCTGAGCAGATTTTTTGAGGTAGGCAACATCACCACAAAGTAAACTCTTGATTGTTCTTGATTCTTCAGGTATCGACTACAAGCCTCCTGAATATAAGGAACACGACTTCAGTGAAGCACCAAAGTTCACCACGTCTCTGAGCGACAGAGCCACCACTGTTGGATACAGTACCAAGCTGCTATGCTCCGTCAGGGGATTCCCCAAGGTAATTCTTTATGGTACATCCTGCAGTTGATAAGTTCAAAAGCAATGCAAATAGGATATGAAGATTTTTTGGGGGGGGAGTTATCTTGGGAAAAACTGAGAAAGAAGTTTTCTATCGTGGTTTAGACCTTTTGTAACCTGTTGATGATGCTGTGACCATAGACCCCCACAGGTTTAAAGCTGAAATCTACTCAAAATTATGTACTTTATATTGTAGGGCTCATTTTAAAACTTTTCTGTTTTGGTTTTTTGGCCCAAAGGAAATTTGTTGAATCTACGCCACTACCAACAGGCACATAGAAACAACAGGGCAAATAATTTGTTTAATGATTTTTCCACCTTCTCAGATATCAGAGTAAAGCCTCATCTGTTGTTTACCTGTGATATGAAATTATGACACTTTTATTGACACTGTCAAATGAGAGCAGATGGGATTGACTGTCCAAAAGTGTCTCATAAGATCTTAAGGCATATTATTTTGTTATCAGATACTTACTTTGGCTACTTGTCAGCATTCCCTTCATTGCTCTAGCATTGCTTACAGTACACAGGCTTTGACTTGACAATGTGGAAGATATTCACCTGCCTTCATTAGCTTGCCACCTGAACCTCTCACCCTCTCTTTTGGCTAATAATCAGCTGGGTCACCAACAGGGCGAAATGTCAACAGAATTCTTTTTTGAGGCATGGGAAGAGGAGAAGCAGGGGGATGGGGAAGCTTGGTTGGATGTTTAACATTCTGTGTGGAACTCTGGGAGGTTCTCACCATATCGTTGTCATTAAAAGTCCCATACCAAGAGTGTACTGTGTGTCTTGATTCATCAAAGCGTGTTTTGTCTTGCCATTTGGCTCAAGTCTAATTGTTTGCTGGTTTTGTGATGTGACATTGTGCTAATTTGTTTTCCAAAAGCCCAAGATTGAATGGATGAAGAACCAGATGATTATCGGAGATGACCCCAAGTTCAGGCAGATCTGCGTCCAGGGCATCTGTTCTCTGGAGATCAGGAAACCTGGAAACTTTGACGGTGGTGTTTACTCCTGCAGAGCCATAAATGATCATGGAGAAGCAACCATCAGCTGCAAGCTGGATGTCAAACGTAAGACCAGAATCTGAGGTTTTATCATCGATTTGAGTTTATTCATTAACATGTGCTTTGAGTTTGCGCCACTGTTTAAGTTTCAACTGTCAATAACTTTCTGTTTAACAGAGCCAGTAAATCCAGATGCGGACAAGAAATAGATTAACATCTTCACTAACAGGTGACAAAATGATCTGAATTCTGTTTTTGGTTAAATTTTATACTCACTATCTATAGAAGTGAGTTCAAAATAGGTCTGCGGCAGTTGTACCTGGATCTTTATCACCCACATGCCATGCAAATAAAACTGTAAAACTCCATCTAGTTCAAGTGACACATATATAAGAGCTGAGGGAGCTCCAGCTTCTTCTATGACTTACATGGAGAAGGCTGTCCATACATGGAGGTCACTAAACTTGGAATAGTTGGCCTGTCCCACTGACAGGGTCTAAGCAGGAGCACCCATAAATTAAATCTGTAATGTCTTCCGCTGCACTCAGTCAGGTGACTTAATCACATTTCCAAGACTCAGCAGCAGTGACAAGGACGTATTTCAGAACATACTGTAATTTAACATGTAAAATCTTCTCTTCAAGGACAATTTGGTGGCTTATGTTAATATAAAGTGTTTTAAGGAGCTGATGTTGTGTATACATTTTCTGCATATACTTCTAAATTGCAGGAAATATCCTCAGATCACTAAGCATCAATTTTTTGCTGTTTTTCTGTTGCAATCCTAAAATTAGGAGCAGAGGGTAAGGTCTTTGCAGTGTAAGGTGTGTCATTGTAGGTGTTTCTAAAGCCGGTGTCCACAACAATTAAAGCAAATGTTAAAGTTCAGGTTATCTGTCTGTCATCACAGGATCGGTTGGATTCCTGGAAGAACTTCTATCTATGGCTGGTGATTCCTTTGCCAACGGGTTTTAGCCTGTGACGTCTTACCGAGTGACATCTACTAAGATGAACAATTTTTGTCATCGCTTCATGCCTAGAACAAAAATATTAAGTCCACATCCATGTCCACAATTTGTTTTCCACAAGAATACTCTCATTAATAAATATTATCTTATAACCTCTTCAAACATTGAGCTACTTAAAGAACTTCCCAGTCTTACTCAAGTGAATTTACTGTTCACTTGAACATGTAACATCTATGTGTTTATATCAATAAATAATTTAATTTCTGGTTTTGTTTTTATTATGGTGAAATTGTGTCACTTTTGCATTATATGATTTAAAACATACATCTTACTCAACTGTTAACTGACATATATACTTAATAATCCTGGCAGATGAGTTAAATATACTCATTTGGTGATACTCATGCATGTAGAACTAGTTTTTCATGTGAAAGGCAAGACAAACTGACATATATGTCATGATTTGTTAAAACAATTTGAAGTTTGTTACTGGGGGTAAGAAATGCATTATAACAAAGAAAATTTGATTGACACACCTTGCCATTAAAAGTTTAGGTAAAAAGTTACTAGATAGAATAAAGTGATAAATCACTCTTTCAAAACAGAGACCCAATGCTTTTGTAGAATGTGTTTGTCTCTCTGCGTTAAGACTAACAGCTGAATTTGGGATGAACTGCAGCTGCCTACTTTTTATGCTCTTAAGGACATGATTAAAAATAGAACCTACTACAAGGCATGCACAAATTTCGGTATGTCTCGTTCTGATTCAAGTAACATAGTTCTTGCAATATTTTCAAAGTTGTATCAGCTTAAATTAGAAGTCGTCTTTATTTGGTTGTGAAAATATAAGTCAGGATTTATAACCTAGATTTCTGTCATGCCTTTACTCTTCTAGGCATTGAGTCTGAATGGTGATCTTTCACCTTTCAATATTTAAGGACCTATTTGCTACATTGGGCTGGATGAATTTCTGTCACAAGTGCTCACTGATTTTATCAACAGTTAATCATTAACTGTGGTGTGATGAAACAAATATTTTGAGCTGTGTCGTCAGCGTGAGCGGCAACCTGTATTATATTTTTCTGTAATTTGAGCTAAAAGAATCACCCAGATATTAAATAAAATTTGTCTTAGAGAGGTGCCTTGAGGAAACTCGCATGTAATTGGTGCAAATTCAGATTGCAAATTGCCATTAATACAAACTAAATTCTGACTTGCGCTTTGGAATTTGAACCAACTTAACACAATACTAGAAAACAAAATGTTAGATTTTTAGCTGTCCATTGCGACTGGTTGTGTCAAATGCTAAATCTGTTAACTAATATGTCACTAGTAATATGACTATCTTTAATAACAAGGTTTCAAACTCTTTGTCACTCATTTCAGAAAGCAAAACTTATTTATTTTAATTGACAGTGAAATTAAAATTTAGAGGGGACTTCACAAGGAATGGACTGAGTCTGAAGCCAGTGCATAAGGAGCTGTTATACTCAGAGGACTCCTACACATGGGCTACAAATGTTGCATTCCTGATATCAAGCCACTTCTAAACCAGAATACATGTCAAAAGCATCATCCTTGGGCTAAGCAGAAATAGAGCTGAACTGTTGCTCAGGGGTCAAAAGTCTTTTTAAATCAAAGAAAAATTTGAATTGCATGTGGAAATCAATGTTTCAGCTTCCTGAAATGATTGAAAAAAGTAACTTTTTCACAATGTTCAAATGATTTGATCTGTATTTGTGTTTGATGACGAATTACTACTACCAATGAATGCAAAATAGCAAATTTTCCCTGATCGCTCAAAGTATGAAAAGATGATATGAACATAATGCAAGAACTGAGTAAAAAACATGTCAAAGAAGTTAAATATGCATCAAATGCTAAAAAAGGAATTGCTGAAAAATATTCAAACTGATCAGTGGGTCATATATTTAAGTATTTAGACAAATTCGACCTAAAATGTTTGAAAGTTAACATTTAGTGCGATATTTTTATTGCGGTGGAAACCTGGGGAAACTTAACTGCAGACTGGTTTACCTCTCATCCTTTAAAAATCCTTATGGCAGATGATTATTCTTCACCTGGAGACAGCAGCTCAATTCATTTAGCTCAGACAGGTTCCACCTAAGTATGCCAGGAATACAATAATGATAATACAAATCTAAAGAAGTGATCTTGTAACTATTTTATCTTGGAGTCTCTAGCATAGTGATAGGGTTTGGATGCCAGCAATATATAGGTTATAGAAACACAAGAGTTGACCCAGAGGCTTGACAAATTTAGCCTTGCTGCTCCATCTTGTTGAGGTTATTTTAGGACCAAGTAGCTCAGCTGCTTCTGTGGTGTCAGTTACATTAACTGAGTGGGAAAACTACAAATAAAGAATAAAAATCAATGTGAAAGAAAGATAATCTTATCTCATTGCCTTATTATTTTTCACTTTTGAAATAACTTTTTTTTTGGTAGAGCTCAGAGCACATTAAAACACAAAGTGCTCTTCTCCCTAAGGTTTATTTTATTCAGAACTGTGTTAAGAAATTCACTCTTAGAAATTACGTTAAGGTATAAGAACAAAGATGAAATTAGGCAGTTTCTTTGGGTTTATTGTCCTCTAGTGGTCTAATCAAGTAACGACACTAGTAAACATAAGTGAACAAATTTGATCTATCACCTAAATGTAAACCTTACGCTTTGCAAATAAATTAATCAGGTATCACAGGTCACTAAATAGCATATAGCCTAAACAATTAAATTATTCAGAGTACCATCCAATAGTATACCTATTCCCTTTTGAATTGTGTGCATAATTTGAGCAGTGTAGCTTTAACCTGTAGGCTATGATCCATATTAGGTCTGAGGCCTATTTCTGATGTCCCTGGATCCTGACATGCTCCATCAGGGTCACAGAAGAAGACATTTCTCTGCTAATTTAGATCCTGCATAGTAAAAAGGTAATAATAATAATAATAATAATAATAATAATAATAATAATAATAATAAAACATCTTTACAGCATACAACTTTTTTGGCAGAGGTCAAAGCACAATATCTCTGTATTAAGAAAAAGCAAAAGCAGATGTCAAAAAATAAAAAAATATATATTAAGTAGCTATTAAGTGAAGCATTAAGAATTGATCAAATCAATCTGTTTACATACTTGGGAATGTCATCACTTCACTGTCAACAGGTAAGGTTAAAGCTATATGTGCTGCAGGCACATACCTCTCCCTTAAGTTACATGTGCCTTCCTATTATTTACTTTTTTATTAATGTCAATACAGTTCAACAATAAAAAATATTTCCCTGAATAATTAGATGCAGCCTTGAGATTTTAGTGACTCTCAGTTCTATGAGAAGCAACTGCTGAGGGTGTGAAGTTCACATAAAAGCAGCGTCTTTTAATGACGCCGCCTTGCCTTCCTGACTCATCCATGCTCGTTCCTGTGATTACTGGTGATGCATCAAACAGCGTCTGGTCACTGCTTCATCAAGGGGAACTCCAAAGGCAATGAAATTGAGTGCCCCTTTTGAAGAGAGCCTGGTTTGCTTTTGTTGCAGAGATCTGGCATCATTCCCAAAACCTCTAATAAGTGTAAGTGGGAAGCTGGCACTCACATCAGTGTCCAGTTGTTGCTTTCTATTAACAAATGTTTCACCTTTAAATCAGCTAGACAGGCTGTCACAACCCAGTTTTCATTTTCTTTACATTTGAATAGTTCAAGAGATATGATGATCCAATGTGTGTGATCCATACATATATAATTTGCTTTATATTTTGATAAGTTGTATTAAAATAGCGCTATTAATGCAACATAAGTAACTTGCAATCCTTTTTTTTCCCTTTGAAATATAAAGTACCGGGGTTGTGCAGTTCTCTGCATGTTCTCTGAGCAGGAAGTCAGCTTCATTAATTTCAAATTAAAAAAGGCTTGCTTAAGTGAATTAAATATGGTTTTAAACTGAGAAAATTAAATGTTTTGAACAAAAATAAAACGAAGCAAAACAGATGTTTCTGATGTAACAGACAGAAGCATTTCTCTGCAACCAAACAGAATACTTCAGGGACTTTCAGTTTGTCAATATATATATATTTCTTTCTAATTATTCGGGTTTGGTCATCTGCCTTCAATTTTTTCTACTTTCTAACATGCATTTATGAGATGCATGTTAAATGCCTGTGAACAAGTAAAGGCAACACTACAGTAGCCATGTGTCCTATTGTGGCAGCTGAATAAAAATGATGAAAAAAACAACTTTCCCCTCTGCTGCAGTGAAACCAGTCTGGCATGCAGCTCCTCACGCCTCACTGACTCTAAGGTTCTTGCAGATTCATGGCACCCAGCAGCTAGGAGACTTAAACCAAGCTCCCGGAGAACCACTGCAGGCTGCTGGTTACCATCTCCACCTCTCTTTTCATCACCCATCGATTCTCCTGTCTTTGCTCCTCCCTCATTTTCCTCCTGCATCTAATTCTCAAAGCTCAGCACTCCTCTTCTGTATGTGCTGGAATGAAAAAAAAAAGTGATAGTGTATTGAAGGAAAAGAGGAGGAGCAGGGTTGTTAGTGCGCCAAAGAAAACCTGCCTCCCTCCGTGCCTGGTTGATGACACAGAGTCTTTTTATTGAGTAGCTCCTCAGCCAATCAGGGAGCAGTGCCGGGAAATACAGCAGTGGAACTCCACTGGTCCTGATGCTGGGGATGATTTCAGTGTTTGAACTATGTTAATCTACGTGAGTGTTTCCCATCCTCTCTTTCTCATTTGAGCTAACATCAGCAGCACTCCGAGCCAAGAGATCTTGTTTGTGAGTGTCTCTTTGGATCACTAGACCCCAGGTGACTGTGGGATTTGTCAGAACCGGGGTTTATTGTTACTTTTTTTTTTTTTTTTGATGATTTACACTGCGTTTCCAGGGTGGGAGGATCCTAAAAGCTGACTGTTGGGGTTTTTTGTTTATCTTCTGTCAAGCACACATCCGATCCTGTTTTCTGCTTCCACTACTCACTCCTTACGGTAAGCAGCCTCTTTCTCTGTACAGGGCTGCAGCGTCTATGACTGCAGCTTTCCTGCGTGGCAGGTTGTCACAGAGGCACCTAGCCTCATTACACACATCCTGACTGAATGGGGAAAAAAAAGCTCTGCAGAGAGAAACACAGAGAATAAATGGTCTAGAGGTAATTAGAGCAGATGGTGTTGACATTATATCGGTCCCTTTTATTTTACCGCAGACGGTCCTGCAGTAATATGCCAACTTTTAAAGCCTGCC